AGTAAACGCCCAGGTTTATGCATACGCGTCAGTGAAGTTCTGAGGAAAATGATTTCAGCTGTGTAACAATAGGAGTGTGAGAAAACACGCTGCATCCGTGCCACACAAACATATTTACATACACTTCATTAATACACAGAAGTTAACGCTTGTGGTTTGAAAATCTTTCTCAAGATTCCAACGAAGAATTCAAGGAAAAGAGGCACGAGGCACTGAGTGGTGTAAAGTCCCCAGTCGGAAACCTAAAACTTCAGCAGTGAAATTCGAACAATTCCAGATTATTATCAGGTCAGTGTATCTTCACAGAACTGTGTCCTTACTTCTGGTCCCTAATTTATTGGAGAATCGTGTCTTCTCTCTTCTCAGGCAAATTTCAATCGTTTCGAATCGCGAAATGCACGCCCAACAAATCAGTTTGTTTAATTTGGCGGCGTTTATTAACCATATCTTCCATCGAGTTGTCCCATAGGCACACAACCAAATGTCCAGGTGAATTGAATGACATTGCTTTCAATACGACACATGTTTTGAATTTAGGGTGCGTTCCTCCTCAAGTATCAAGACTGTCTTATGCTTATTGATTAGTTAATAAGCTCGATGAATAAGGCGTTCGCGATAGTCGACCTGTTGTGATGCATTTCTTGGTAAGGAAATCCATTGATGACACACACAATTTCGCTCAGTTAGAAGATTCCTGTAGGATAGATCTTCCAGAAGTAAATGTTCAAACAGAATTCCTGTCATTCTTAATCCATAATGCGAATAAATCTCACTTTGGAAGCTGAGAGATACACAGATAAAGCCGGAGATAATCTGTCCAAACTTAGTAGCATAAAAGGAAATAACCCTGAATCAAGCTTACAGATAGTTCGATCAGTCGGCGGTGTACAAAGTCATGCTCATGGATTCACAATGCTTTGTCAGATAATTTATTGGTCACACCTCAAATCAGCACGAGCATGGAGACATTGTCAACAATGCTGTTCATCATTTCCTGACCATCTCGTCTAAGTCCCCAAAGTGACAAATATTCATACCTGACTCATTATACAACTTATTCATATTGGAATCTTCGAAGCAAATTTTGCGTTAAAGATTCTTAATGATTGTCGGAGTACAGCTCAAAGTAATGACAGTATCACATTACGAGACGTCTACCTAGCAAGGAAGGAAGATGACACACTAAGAATGAGTGTGTACAGAAAGCCTACAACAACAGATCTGTACACTCATCTTATGTTGTATTATTATTATTGTTCCCTTGGGTTCCTAGTGGAACATAGGGCTTCAACTGCACGTCTCCACTTGCTTCTGTCTTCTGCTGTACTTTTCACTTGCGTCCATGTTATTCCATACTGTTTCATCTCCTCCTCACACGATCTCCTCCATGTCACCCTTGGACGTCCCACTCGCCGCTTCCCTTTCGGGTTCCACTCGAGGGCCTGGCGCGCGATGTCACTCAACGGCCTCCTCAGCGAGTGTCCAATCCATCTCCACTTCCTCCTGCATATTTGTTGGGCGATTGGTTCCTGTTTCCTTTGTTCCCACAGCTTCTTGTTTGTGATTCTTTCCGGCCATCTGATCTTCAGTATAGAACGAAGACAGTTGTTGTTGATAAAGGTCTGCAACCTGTTGAAAATATTCTTGGTGACCCGCCAAGTTTCTGATCCGTAAAGCAAAATTGACTTGACGTTTGTATTGAAAATCCGAATTTTGTTGTTGATGGTGAGTGACGAAGATTTCCAGATTGGTTTCAGGTTGATGAATGTGTTTCTCGCCTTCCCGATTCTCGATTTGACATCCTCGTCCGTTCCTCCTGTGGTTGAGACAATGCTCCCCAGATAAGTGAAAGAAGTAACCTCTTTCAAATCCCTCCCGTTGATGGTGATTGGCACTGGATGTTGCTGCTGTTGTTGGTTGGTTATTTTCATAACCTCCGTCTTGTCTATGTTCACCTGGAGTCCTGTCTTTGCTGCTTCTTCGACCAGTTTGTCGGTTTTTGCTTGTAAGTCTTCGATTTTGTGTGAAATCAAACATAAATCATCCACACGCGAAATCCAGGTCTTCTAGGTTCTTCACGTCGGTCCAGGATATCCCTGTCTTCTCGTTTCCCACTGTCTGACGCATAATCCAGTCCACCACAATTAGGAATATCATTGGTGATAATAAGCACCCTTGTCTGACTCCTGTGTTTACTCCAAACGCTTCGCTGAGTTTTCCGTTGTGGATCACTTGACATGTGCCGTTGTCGTACAGTTGTTGAAAAAGGTTGATGAATATTTGCGGTACGCCGTAGTACTCGAGTAGTTTCCAAATTACTTCGCGGTCAACGCTGTCGAAGGCCTTCTCAAAGTCTATGAAGTTGAGGTAGAGGTTTGATTGCCATTCCATGCTTTGTTCGATGATAATGCGTAGAGTTGCAATTTGGTCAGAACATGATTTGCCTTTCCTGAATCCAGCTTGTTCTGGTCGGAGTTCTGTATCCAGCGCGTCCTTGATTCTCTCCAGGATGATGTGACTCAGGATTTTACTTGGCGTCGACAGGAGCATGATTCCTCGCCAGTTCTTGCAGAGTCCCAGGTCGCCCTTCTTTGGTAGTTTCACCAGGTAACTTTTCCTCCAGTCAGTAGGCACCTTTCCCTCTTTCCAGATCTTTTGCAATAATGGAGTCAGCATACCTGCCGTCGTTTCTGGGTCCGCTTTCAGTGCTTCCGGAGGTATTCCATCTGGTCCAGCTGCTTTTCCAGATTTCAGAAGCTTGATTGCATTCATGACTTCAGTTTGGAGGAGGAGGATTGGTGTCAACTTGCAGTTGTGTACGTGCTGTTGTTGGTATTACTGGACGGGTTGTAGGTGGTGGTCGGTTCAAGAGTCCTTTGAAGTGGTCCGCCCATTGTTTAATCTGTCTTTCTTCTTTGGTAATTGGGTTCCCTTGGTTGTCTTTTATAGGTTTCACTTGTGTTGATCTCTTCCCGGATAGAGACTTGGTTATCTGATATAGTGTCCTCAGGTCCCTTTTGCCTGCTGCCTTCTCAGCTTCAGTAGCCAGGTTGTCGTAGAATTGTCTTTTGTCCTTCCTGGCACTCTTCTTCACTTCTTTGTCCAGTGCTGTGTAAGTTGAGCTCAGCGTCTCTTTCTCTTGTGTTGTATACCTTTTCAATATAAACGTAACCTGGTAAAGTGTCTGTTTCATAGAGCTAGGTTAATCTGTTCAAACGACTACCTCATTGAGGAGCCTAATATTATTAGAGAATTACTCAGAATAAATGGGTATCCAGATAAGTTCATTGAGAAAAATATGAATTCAGCACCTAGGAGAGTCAGTATGGCAACATTTTCGAAAAAAGCCACTATTCATAAAACTGCAGTTCCTCGGTGACACCATCAGTGAAATAATATTATATTTTTATTATTTATTTATTATTGTTTTTAATATAGTTCCACACAGTATTTTGGTACAAGTATGAAATTTTCAGCATGTGATATAGGTAGCCCAAATTTAGCAGGCCGACCATAGATATCAGGTGTGCGTCGGCGGCGGATTGAACTTCGGACCATGTGCATGGTCGGTGAGAGTCCTAACCACTGTGCCACCGACGCACACAGTGCGTGAAGAATGCAGATAAAAGAGCTTATTATGCAGCAGATGTACGTTGTCTCTTCACTACCACCCCTATTCTACGTTCGAGAAATTATGATAAACTACCTAAATTTGCCTCCTCCTTGTGTATCTATCAGTTTAACTGCAGCTGCGGAGTCAGCTACATTGGGCGTACAATTAGGCAGGTTCATCATCTTATTTCCGAACATCATCCAGCATGGTTAAGCCAGGGACCAACAAGATCTGTTCGTAGCTCTGTTTTAGCCCGCCTTGTAGTTGGTGAGAATAAGGTTGACGTTAATACAACATTCAAGATTATTTATCGCATTCCTACTAATCTTAATGTTGCTTTGCGAGTTCGTCTTCTACATACGGCTGAAACCATGGGAATTTACCTGAAGAAACCAAACCTATGTGTTCAGAAGAAATTTGTACAGCCACTTTCCTTACCTCGGCCATCGCTACATGAATGTATTAGCAGGACTGCTTCGCCCCCTCTCATAAATGATTGTCCAAATTATTTTATTATTTCCCTGACTACTTCATCTTTAGTTGCAAGTTATCATTGTTCAAATTGTTTTATTTTCCTTAACAATCTGTTGCGTAATCAAAATGAGCATACGCTTATTCCCCAATTACTATTCATTTCTTCCAAAATAATGCATTGCGCAATCGACATGTTGGAAACATTCCAACGTTTTAATTTTGTGTATCAATTTCATTCGTTATTAACCACTCCTTTGACATCCTGATGCTGACTTATTATTGTTAAAAAAAATTATCGCCACTGAATCGGTAAACTGTTTTGTGTTGTAGTAAAAATTCTGTATGTATTAGATTAAAGCCAGAGATGAGAATCTAATTGAAAAGTAAATACTACATGCTCAGTAATTTGCTTCAAAATGAGGCTGTCTGATCAGCATGGCCTCAAAGTATCATTTCTGTTCAGTAGAAAATATAGTGTGTAAGTCACGTGAAAGCCACACAATCAGAGCATCAGCTAATTACACAATGTTAGACGAGAGAACACTGATGAGCTATTGTTTACTAATGAAGTTTAACGTGTGTGCAAAGTGTTTCACCACCATCTGAAATCACTTATTAGACACAATGTTTAAGTTGGAACATGTTGTATTTACTGTGGACACCCGATCGAGATGGTCTCCTGACAAGAACTTTCATAATATAATAGAACGAGGATCACTGGAATGCACAACAACAACAAATTTTGACTTGCGTTTTATGGCCACAATATTGGTGTCAGACATTTGGCTACCTAGTTGTGCATCAAACACTAAGTAGTTGAAAAAGCGAACGACATCGATATCACTTCTACTGCCCTGGTCGTGAAAATGACACAAATCATTATGAACAGATGATGTCAGAATGGAAGACGACATCACAATTATGAGTATATTTTAGTGTAGAGAAACGAAAGTGGAAAACATACTTCAGTGCGATGACTGGTTACAAAATGAGTGAATGTTAGAATAAACAGGAGAAATGTCAGAATATATAGAGCAATAAGTATTTGTGATTCGATTATATCATCATCAGAATAGAGTTGTGCATAAAATGAAAGAAAATGATTCTTCTCCACTTCATCCAATCAATTATTTGATTAATATGATTACAGGTAAGACAATCAGTTTGTGAAAAGAATCCCAGAACGTATTCTGCATGCAATATCAGTGAATGAGAGGAATTTACAGAGAGAAATCGAAGATATATGCTGGATAACTTGGTGATACTGGAATTAAGCCAAATTACTGAATTTCTCGACATCAAATTCCATTGGTGTGTGTTTCACGCTTTCCAAATATTCATACGAAGTCTGTATTAGTTGCATTTCCTCTTCATCGTAACAATGTTTCCACTCAGCGTGCACTTGGTCACCAAGGTAACACAAGAGTGTTTTCACTGTGCAAATTTTGTTTTGTGTGCATTCGTTCATGAAATCACTGCTATCCATATTTACAGCATACTTCATTGAGGACAAATCAAATTGAGGATGAGGAGTTGCTGTAGAGAGAATCAGAGAAATGCAGTGAATGTATTTGAGAGAAGGTCACAATTCTACTCTATCAAAAAAAATGCAAATAACTCAAATCATCACCTGAACAATGCATAATAATTGACTGCTTAACGTCTATGAAGGGCGACATTGAAAAACCAGCCACTGTTGCCGAATTTGCACAGAGTGATGTATGGAGAGTAATGAAATCAGTTCGTCATGCTGTAACCACGGTGTTCGTCGATATGGAACAGGATTTATCACTACCGAATTTCACCTTCAAATGTCTGAGTTGGTGAAGACGTCAACACGAAGAATTTATCTCACCTTTCTCTCAAACAATCATACCTACTTCGAATACGGCGGTGAACATACAGAGAAATCAACCAACATATAACTTATCAAAGCTGTATGTGTATCAGGTTAGAGTGGAATACTTCGATAGAAGTCTGATAGACGAGTACAAGACCTCACTAGCAATACGATGGATAAGCACGAGTGTAGAAGAAGGACTAATTTCACCGAGTGTATTCACTGCGTGCATTGATCTGAAAGTACGCTTGTCCTGTCATTGAAAGGTCATTTTATATTAGTTGGAAGGAAGAGGAGGGAATACTTCTCTTTGACCCATATCATACTTTCTACAGTTGTTGACATTTATACTAGAGATGGTATTGGATTCGTCCAAGTAAGTTGTGAGTGTATCCAAACATATTTCCAGATACATAAATCTACGTATATGTAGGTATAGATAGGTGGAATATTATACATACTCTGATGACCGCTGGACATCACTCATAACGGTAACATGCTGTACATTTGTTTCTCGTAGCTCAGCTGGCACAGAGTCCTTATACTTAACCCGTGGCTGAAGATTTAATTCGTGCAGATATCCACCCTCTCTTTGCATGTCCAATCAACACTCTTAACGCAGGCATATCAAAATATTCAAAATATTTCAGTGAATCAATTTCACTTCAGTAAAATACACTGAACTCACGTTTGAGAATATCACTTTTAGTTTTGTTCAAACAAGTTTCGAATTGCTTTCTAGCCTCACATTCCGTATGGGTTCCAGTAGATTCACATCCATTTAAAAGACACAATAACGCTGTCACCTGTGATAAAAAATAAAAACATAGAATGAAATATCCTTCAAATAAAATCAGACAACATACGCTGAAGCAGATGAATACAGTTTTCACAGATGCGTTCATTCTCTCCGTTTCCTAAATATACTTCAGATGGTATACACAAGTTAACAACATACACACTATAAACATATATATATCTGTATATCTCTATATCTACGAGTAAACAAAACAAAGGGGTCAAGGACATGTAGATATCTGCTGATACACTGAATTCTTGTTCCTATTTAATGAGTAAATTCCTTTTGTAGTAATCATGTGAGTATTATTTCTCTTAGAGATATATTGTGCATGCCAAGTAATCCACAACGGGAAGCTCACGGAATCCTTCGAAGTGAAGACGGGAATAAGACAGGGTTGCCTACTATCGCCAATGATTTTCCTGATTGCAGTAGGTTGGATAATGCGACAGACAGCGGGCAATGAGGAAACAGGCGTAAAATGGACTCACACAAAGAACTTGGAGGATCTGGACTTCGCCGATGATATATGTCTGATTTCCCACAAACTGGAAGATATGCAAGTGAAAAGTAACAAGTTAGCAGAAGAAGCATCAAAGATAGGACTCCAGGTGAACATAGAGAAAACGGAGGTGATGAAGATTCCTGGCCAACACCATAAGCCACAGCAACAACAACAGACAGCAATCAGCATAAATGGAAGGAACCTGAAAGAAACTACCTCCTTTACCTACTTGGGAAGCATTGTTTCAACTACAGGCGGAACTGATGAGGATATTAAAGCAAGGATCGGGAAAGCAAGGCAAGCTTTCATCACTCTCAAGTCTGTGTGGAGGTCAACAGCATTCAGCGTCAAAAATAAGATCCGGATTTTCAACTCCAATGTGAAGTCAGTACTTCTATACGGATCAGAGACTTGGCGTGTCACAAAGAGCACCTCAAACAAGCTACAGACCTTCATTAACAGCTGCCTTCGCTCAATACTCAAGATCAGATGGCCGGCCAGAAAAGATCAGCAACAGGGATCTCTGGCAATGAGCGAACCAACCAGGAACCGATTGTGAAACAAATATGCAGGAAGAAATGGAGATGGATTGGCTGGCCACACTCTGAGGAAACCAGCAAGTGACATCACTAGACAAGCCCTCGAGTGGAACCCGAAAGGGAAGCGACGAGTTGGTCGTCCAAGGGTGACCTGGAGGAGATCATATGAAGAAGAATTGACTTGGAGACAGGTGAAAACTCTAGCAGAGAACCGAACGCAATGGAGACGCATGGCTGAAGCCCTATGTTCCTCTAGGAACTAAAGGAAATAATAATAATAAATAATATATTGTGCTTTCTGATTCTAGCTAATTAGTTATCAGCTAAATTCCCAGTCTGACTAATCAATGACTATCTTCAATCTTGCTTCATCATTGTAGGTGGTTATCAAGCTCCGTCTTCTGTTCGTCTTCAGCTTCAACATCTAAACATTCGCAAATACTGATAATGCATCCAAGTATGAAGAACCTTGATTGCTAACGCTAGTTTCGACTATTTTAGAAATGAAGTCAAAGACACCACTAATTCTATATCGCAGAATGTTTTCGTGCAAAAGTACAAGAATCTTACCCTACCCCTCTGCTGTTCTGTGAAGTGGTTGGATCTAGTCATCTTAATCTGTACGAGGAGGAAAATCATGCTTGTGCATTTTGAGTAGGCCATAAAAACTTGAAATGACGATAACACGTCTTTTGGTTCAATCCTCCTGAGAGGATCTGACGTTGGTTCCTCTTCTTTTACATTGCAGTCTTTGAAATTGTTCCCCTTGCAATCTACAAGCTGGAGCGGTAAGTGATACATGCCACATCAGGTGACATACGGTGAAATGAAGATTGGTTAAATTTATATTTACATATCCATCAGTTTAGACTCATTACACTCTCCCGCAGTGAGGAATATCGAGCAGTGCAGCTTAATATGCGGGTGAACATCCATCATATATTATACCGTACGTTGTTGGCGTAGACAGGTGACATTAGTGATCACCACTTATGTACAAGTCGTGCGTCTCTAGTTAACTCAACCCGACATTGGTAGAATATAAAGGTATATAACACCTCTCCCCGGCAATGCAGATGGACAAGTAGAAAATATTGATACGTCTTTGCGTCACGCGTCACGCGTCAGTTCGCAACCACATTGACCGAGATCTTCTGCTAACGGGATGCCTCCTGAGTAAAAGATGTTACTCCCATCGGTTTCTTTCCGCATTAACTGCAAGTAGCTTGAAAGTTTCAACTGGCAGCTCACAGAATGTCTCACTATCTGAAGACGTAGCTCGGCTACTTTAGAACTGGATATTGTGTCACGTCCATGTTTCATATTCCACTTCACCTCGGAGATCATAGTTCCCCACCGACCTTTCAACTCACTTTCCAACCACACTGCCTTCCCTGTCCGATATTCGCGAGTGTATACTACTTCACTCTATTGGAAATAAACCATGGTGTTCTTCGTCAAATTGGTTGTGATGGCAACATTGTATATTACTACGAACGAAACAACTATCAAAGTGAAAGTTAGTTTGGACATTCTTTCAAACATGACATGTTTACTGGGCGATAGACAAGATAAACAATTATACGACTTTCAATGTCAGCATCATCGAGGTGTCAAGGATTGTCGTGTATTTATCACTTCTTGTGTGGTTTGTGCACTTATCAAATCAACTTCTCCTGAGGTGACAGATATGTAGCGCGTTCTGCTAGACAACTGAGCCAACGTGTTACTGAACATCATGCAAAGGGATTTGACAAAGGACATACAAAAACCATCAAGACTTCCGTTTACCCACAATTACCTCCTTAATCGGACTATGTAATTTTATCGGACTACATGGACTACTTCCACCTGAAAATTTGTTTCTGTAACCATGTGGCATTTCAGTATCCTTGATATAGCAGATCACTGTACGTTTTCTATTTCGATATTGAAAGAATTATTATCATTGTCAATCTTGTTAGCATCGTTCTTATACGACTAATTTGGCCATTTATATGCACAGTCCCAGATTACGTGTATACAATCGGATTTGACTGCTAGGTTTTCAAGGAGAGGCCATTTGATAATTATCCACTGGTCAGACTTAATCTCGTTTGGAAAGCTGATTCATTTGATGCTGAAGGCGGAGGTAGTCTGATTGACTTTTCAAGCTTAAACGGAAGCATACTTAAGCAAACACAACTGGTTGAAAGACGAGTATTCCAGATACTCCGATCAATCAGTGGTGTACAACGTCATGCTCATGGATTCACATTGCTTTGCCAGATAATTTATTCGTCACACCTCAAATCATCACGAGCACGACGACATTGTCAACAATGCTGTTCATCATTTCCTGACCGTCCTGTCTATGCCAGCGGGTAACTGTGGAATGGATAAATTCAATTATATTTACATATACATACATATATATTCCACTCTTCTGAAGCGAGACATTTCGTATATTGCAGTGAAAACCACCCTTCAAGAAATGACATCAATGTAACAAACTATGCTGGAATCGAATTGCCTGAGATCATCTCTCATCAATCTGTTCTATTTAAACATTTCTCTCTCATTACCCAACAAGTTCTATCTCCAGATATTGATAGTAGCAATTCAGTTGTCATTCATCTCTACTTCATCAGTGTACAATGGAACACATTTCATCAGTGAGTAGTGAAGTGTATGTGTAGATGCTGAAGCTGTAGACGAACAGAAGACGGAGCTTGATAACCACCTACAATGATGAAGCAAGATTGATACTCATTGATTAGTCAGACTGAAAATTTCGCTGATACCTAATTACCTAGAATCAGAAAGCACAATATATCTGTAGGAGAAATATTACTCACATGATTACTACAAAAGAAATCTACTCATTAATTAAGAACAAGAATTCAGTGTATCAGCAGATATCTACGTGTCCTTGACCCGTTTGTTTTGTTTACTCGTAGATACACAGATATATATATCGTATATTGTTAACTGGTGTATACCATCTGAAGTATATTTAGATTGTCGTGTATATTAGGAATCGGAGAGAATGAACTCATCTGTGAAAACTGTATTCATCTGCTTTACCGTATCTACTACTAAGAGTATATTCAGTAGTAGTGCCACTATCATCATTATCAGTGTTATTATCAGTATTATAATTATTATATTTATAGTGACTAATTGCACAGTATAAAGGCACAATCATATTATCCAATGGACAACTCATCGTCATGTGTTCATGTCTTGATATGTTTTGTGAAATTCTGTATTCTGAATTTAGGCCAGATGGGATGTAATGGAAATCAATAGTGCTCGCTTAGTTATTCCTCCTGAATATCCCTATCGCATTGTTGAATATTCATCACTGAGCCACACTATTATAACCATATGTAAAACTTTGCCTGGTTACTGATGTATATTAGAATATCTTATCGTTGAATATAGCTCGATATGATTCTTCGCATCTGCTTCACGATTCGCATTTATCCGCTGTTCAAGATTCACCAATAGCTCGAAGTATAAACTATCACATTTGATCAATTTTATGTACACTTAAACATTCACTTTATTCTGTGGAGCGAGATATATAGGTGGTTCGATATGTGTCTTACATGGAGATGTTATTTAATACAACCGCGCATGGCTACAAATAGGCCATAATGGGTGAGTGTAGCGTTTAATATTCTATAATAGTCATAATAATGGTTGCTCAGTCGTTAATGAATGTGGATTCACATTTATCCAGGTAGTCGAATGATGCATGTCTGTAGCCTTATGTACCTCTGTTAACGGCATTGAAAAAAGTCTGAAGATTCATATGGATAACCGTAATTTGTGCACACAGAATTAACTCATTTGCTTAGACGCTCTAATCTGCACATAATTCCAAACTCACTTAATACAAACATCCTTCTGCTTTTCTTGGTTAAGTGGTGTGTCTCCTCACAATGTTTTCACAGGACCATCTCTTCCTATTTCCATGTCTGAAATTCGAAAAATTAGAGAATATTCATAGGTTACTGAGATGCTTCCTATTGTGTAACTTTGTCTGAAATTGTTGATGTGGCGATGGGGATTTCAGTGACCTACCAAACACAGTCCCTGAATGATTTGAG